CTAAGCATCACACACATAAATTAAACTTAAACTCTTATCAAACTTTATTTAACTTAGTCTTCCTTCTCCCTTTTTTTTTCATTATTAAAAATGATATTCAACACTCTTTCTTAATGAGTACATCTAGATTTTTCTTTAATCTTTAAATTAGACTTTAACGAATGAGAATCATAAGCACCCATACAATTAAGTCATACAAGCTTATAGGTATAGTTCAATAACTTCAAGAGTCCAGCTTGTAACTATATAAGAACAAATGTATGGGAGTTAAATAATTTTATAAACTTGTCAAGGATCACTCAAATAATATTCAAGTAAATTTGATCATTTTGTTATAATTAAAACTATAAATTTTAAAAGCTACCAGAGTAGAGATGGGAAAACCTCCTTCAAGAATGCTTTTGCAAAAACAATCTCTTAAATCTTCTCCCAAGGTTTAGGGAAAAGCGACAGATACAATCTCTGTTTCAAAAATGAATAGGGCATTGTTAAATCATAGTGCCATAGGAACTTTACAAGTTCGTTGTTCACTTTCTGATTGAAGACAAGATCTTGAAGTCAAAATTCAACTTATGGGAGGATATCAAGTATTGCTCACTTTTTCTAATTTTGAATTAATGAAAGTACTAATTGATGATTACTTTAACTATTTTAAGCAATGCTGGGTGTCGCTACATACGACGTGAAAATTTGAAGGGTTGCCATAAATTTTTTTTATTTAGCTGTGATTAGTCACGTATTGAATTTGTTCTATTGGACAAGATCCTAAATTGATTTTAGGTCTATCTAAAGAAAAACAATTTGATCTGCGAGTTTTTAGAATTGAGTTCAAGAGTACAGTTACGCATGGGGAAGGATTAGCACTCTTGTTATGCTCGTTCCACAAAGAGTACCATTTAGTCATATATTATCCTATTTAAGCCTTAATTTTTAATTTTATTCTTATGTTTCTTTAATCATTGTTTATTTATTTTTTAATTTTATTAGTAACTTAAAAGTATTTTATTTGGTTTTATAGGTGTGACATGCATATGATGCAATTATAAAATGCATGACATAAATCTTGATAATGCCAAATGAAAGCCTTTTATTCAGAATATTTTTCGAATCAGTCCATCATATTGGTGGGATCCGAGGATACTCTCTAACCTAGGAAATTTGATTTGAGAGATGTCTAAAGGGAGCTTTGATTTGAGAGATGTCTAAAGGGAGCTTTGATTTGAGAGATGTCGTGATGAAGAAAAGAAGTAAGTTGTGGAGTCTGTACTTATATAAAGGTTAGAATTGTATCATAATTTGGTGAGCTGGAGATTTAACGTTTCTAAACGTATTACATAAGCATTTTAGCTTGGAAATTTATTTTTTTTAACATATAAGTATATTTTGGAGTTTGAGTCTTTTTGGAGTTAAAGGATTAATTTTGGACTAAAATAAGCATTTTGGAGTGTATCATCGATATATGTTCATCATGTATCGATAGATCAACCCAAAAAACCTAAAAAATTTCAAATTGATGAACATCTATCAGTAGATGTTTTTATCTATCGATAGATGGCTAAATCTATCGATAGATGATGTTCAGACTAGAAAACAAATGAGCATTTTGGTCTTTTCAAACCTATTTTAAAAACCCTAAAACCTTCATTTGCATAATTTCTAAAAGTGTATTTTTTAAATACTCTTCCTTATTGCTTGTTCCCTTTCCTTGTATTTGGTCACAGAGTCTTTGCGATTCACACGTTATTACTCTTATTTTTTTCAAATCAGTAAAGTAGATAACTTAGCTCACTGTCCATTTGGGAGGAGTAGTCTTCGACGGTTGGAATGGTAGGTGATCGTCAAGGCATCCAGTAAACGTCAACCCTTTCATTTGTGTCGTACTTTACTGGTTAAGTTTGTCTTTGTATTTCAGATTGTTATAGATTTATGACTTTGTTATGTCAAGTAATAACTATACTTTGAATGTTTTGCCATAAGATGGTCGACGTCCAAATTTATGTTTATTTGTTTCCACAGTGTAAGCACGTGAGCATGTTGGATGTTAAGTATAGTAATATATAATTAATCATGATTGCATTGTAAAACATGTGAATGTATGGTTTTATTTATTATTTAGGTTTGCATGGGTTAAAAGTGTAATTCCCATTGAGATCATGAATGTGAAATTAGGTCATGACAGTATTGAATC